ATCGCTTTTTTTGGAATTCTATTTACATTCAAAAAAGGTTCTATTGGTAAAACCATATCTTTAATTTTATAAATAATAATAAGCTTAGTCTATTACTATGTTATTTTAGCAGTATCTAGTGGCAAAACTCCAAGTGAATCGAATTAATTTATAATTCTATTTATAATAACATTTCTAACAGAAATGGTATTCATAGAGTTAATAAAGTCATTTTTTATGATCTTTTTGATTCAAAAATACATTAAAAGTAATAAATCCGAAAATATTTTTGGTAAATTATATAATTTGTTTGATTTAAAATAAACAATACTTAATATAGATGTTTGAGTCATATTTGTTTTTTATATTTTTTGTTTTTCATTTCAAAATATCGCCTTTTAAAATTATAATTATTTTTTTGAATTAAGTCTATTTTTAATTTAAAATAATTAATTATTGTTAAGTTTTTAATTTTAAAATCTTGATTACTATTGTTTTTTGTGATGAAAATTGATAATTTTTTTTAGGTCAAAACTAAAGAATATGCTATCGATTAAAATCATTCATCATTTTTGTAAAAATAAATTATGACAGAAAACTCTAAGAAAAAATTAAATTTTAGTAATTATTTAAGTAAATTTTCATATATTTAAGAAGCTATTCATTCATTAACTTACTAAAAAAATATGGTATTCATAAATATAAAAAAACAAAAATAAAACAAATTTATTAATTAATATTTTAGGTTAAATTATCTTATTACAAAATATTATATAATAATACATATTATGTTCTATTATTCAAATATTTAATATTTATTCATCCTTTTTCACCACTTGTATATCATCAAATTAAACGTATTATAGAGACAACTAATCTTTTTAATTTAAGATATTTGCTCTTTACTTTCAAAAATTATGGATAATTGATTTATTAGGAACTTTTATATTTTATTAAATTAAATTTATTAAAAAATGAAATAGAATAAAATTTTTTAATTAAAATAAAATTTAAAATTAATAAATAAAAAAAAACTTAGGCAATATAAAAAATAAAATAAGAAATTTTTAAAATAAAAACTTAATAAACAAATAAGAAGAGTTTGTTGCTATTAATTCATTTTTTTAAGTAAAAATATCACAATCCAAAACATATTAACTGTTTTTACTTAAAAATAAGTCTCAACTTTGAAAGCTTAGTGCAATTTGCTAAACAAGAACATATACCTGACGCACCTTAATAGCCAATTTAATTGTCACTTTTTAAATATTGAAGAAAAAATATAAAATTAATTAGTAATTTAGATGGAAAAAATGAAGAAAAAATAATAAATAAAAAGAAATTAATAAATTATAAAAGCAAATGTTGAAAATAAAAAATGATTTAAATTAAGAAAGATAGTAGAAAAAACAACAAAAATACAATAAAAAAGAAAAAGAATAGTAAATCAAATTATAAGCTAATAAACACATTAAAAAAGCTAAATTGTTTTAAATTCATTTTTATAGTTAAAAATATCACTATTCAAAACAAATAAAATGTTTTTACTAAAGATAAAGTGTCAAATTTGAGATTTTAGGGCAATTTTTTAAACCAGAGCATAAGCCTAATGCACCTTAATCGCCAATTTAATTTCCACTTTTTAAATATTGAAGAAAAAATATAAAATTAATTAGTTATTTAGAAGGAAAAAATGTAGAA